ATATAAATAATAACTGCGTTTATAGAAAAGAGTACTGCAGATATGATCACGTCTACCCTTTTCAATCATTCTCTTGATCCTATTCTTCACTTTTCTTTCAATACGAGTTGACGGAAAAGTTCAATGGAGTTTCTCAATTGTTTTTATACCGATATGGTTCTTTGATTTTGTTGCGTTATTGATAACATTGGTTAGGCTAAAAAAGGATCCAACTGAAGAGGAGCATGGAACTGATGACGAGTTTGAAGGATTGTATCATGAGGATCCTGAGATTAGGGAGCAAGCTAGAGAAGCTAAAAGAAAACAACAAAAGAAACTGACTCATTTAAGGAATATATTATCCGTAGTATATCTATTGTTGAATTTTGCTTTTCAAATATTGATTGTTCTTAAGGCTGATGGCACGTTCGTACAAAGTACTGCAATAGTTTTTATCCCTTATTTCATTATAGAATTGATAAATTTATATCCAAACGCGATAGAATTCATTGCAATTTTAAAAATTTATGATTCAATGGACGAGGCAAAACCTTCAATTTTAACAAAACTTGGGATATTATGGGATACTTTCTGGTGGTTTATACTTAGAATTGCATTAGCGGTCTTGATTGTGCTTAGAATCGATGGAACTATCACTTGCAGCTGGGGGGTTGTTTTTATACCTTTGTATCTGGTTGGTCTTCGATATGCTATTTGGATATTTTGGCAATGGTCAGCCATAAGAAAAAATGAGAATGCTGATCAAAAAAGGGTAGACGTGATCATATCTGCAGTACTCTTTTCTATAAACGCAGTTATTATTTATATTATTATAGGATTATTGGCAAGTAGATTGGATGGAAATACAAACATACTCCTGTCTTCGGTTTTCATTCCAGTTTTCATAGTGTTGTCTATACTTTTCTGTTGTACCGGATGTTGTTTACCTTGTGCTTTAATGAGTTGGAATGTAGGTGATGATTTGGAAGGCTTATCAGACAATTCAATAATATCACCAGACAAAAGAATTACTTATCCATCCACATCCACATCTGCTGCAGCAAGTACTACATAATATAGCAATAATAATAATAATAATAAAAATAGAATTATTGTGTTAATATCATTAAAAAGTTATAGAAATTTTAATTGTGGAATATTAATGTGTTAGCATTACAGTTATTACTATTAGAAATGGATCTTTTTAAAATATATCATATGGATTTAACAGCTTTATGTATGTTTGTAATTAGATTCCCTTTTTTTTAGTTTTACATTTTTTTTATCTCTTCAAAAAAAAAAATAAAATATATATTTTTTTCTTTACTATTCAAAATCAAATTACTATCCCTGTTATTTTGTTGTTAAATGTTCTTTAATATTATTATTAATGTACAATATAATTTTATTTTTTTGGGAAAAAAAATTATTAAAATTATTTGTAAGTATTATTGTAAAGTATTATTAATAAAACAATGCTGATTTTAATTGATTGATTAATACTAATATATTAATTGTAATAAATTTTCTCATTAATAATATACATTAGTATTAGGAATGATTTCGCAAGCATCTTTTATTAATCATTTATCATTCACATGCGTGCATCAAAAAAATATAAAAGACAAAGGTGGAACATAAAATTTTTCAG